GCTTTTTGTATAATTTTTTTTCTTTGGATTTTTTTTTTTATTCGAGGGTGAGTTGTTATTGCAGCTCACTCTTTTAAAATTCAAACAATCACCAGTTGTTTTAAAATAATTATATATCAGTTCCATTGATGTATTTTTGTATTTTGTAAAGCCTCCCCTGGCAGGGAATACACCGAAGAGATGACTTCTGTAGTGTGCCGTGAGGTTCTGGGACTTCAGAGGGGACGTTTGTGAACATTCCTCCATTCAGAAGTCATTCAGTCCCTTTGGGTTCCATTACTGAGTTGCCACCAGAAGTTAGAGTCACAAATGTTCAATTGGATTGAGGTCTGGAGATTGAGATGACCAGTTGAGGACTTTTATTTTGTGTACATTCGTGTGTCGATTTGATAGATGTTTAGGATCATCGTTGTGGCCGGAAGAACCTGATTTCTGACTGAAAGGTCCTGGTACATGTTAGAGTTCATGACTTCCCTTATCGTGACAAGGGTTCTAGGTCCGGTAGATGCAAAATCTCCCAAATAATTGAGACCCCCCACAATCTTTCACAGTGGCTTTGACCATGATCAAAAGAATCAATTTTATTGTTTTTTTTACTCCAAAATTTCATTTCATCTGGCCATAAGACATTGTTTCAGTTGTCCTTCAGATGAAGTTTGGCAAATTTGAGTCACCTCTTGTTTCAAGGGAGACACATAACTCAATATGTATCTAATTCTGCTATGTGAAGTTTTTTGCTCCTATTTCAACTGGGGTGTGAATTAATTTGGAGGGCCTCATGTATAACTATCTTTGAATAGTTTCATTGAACTCAATAATTATTCCATACAGTTCTGCAAATTGTGGCTGTGTGGTAGCCCCAAACATTTAAAACAAAGCATGACAAGCACAATCTCTACGTATGTCAGCTTTTCTTTACTGAGCCTAAATAATGTTTCTGCTGCATCTCACTGCTAGATAGTTTTGACTTGTGTAATGACATGATGATGAAACAAAAAAAAGCATTCACATGCAGTTACAGCTGACTAAGTCACTTATTTTTTTTAAAAGCAAAAAAACTTCCTTTTATATAGTTTTGTTCCTTCCCCGGGTACTTGAGTCATGCATGTCAGATAGTTTGGAAAGCTATAAATTTTAAGACTTCCCTCAAATTTCCAATGCTTAAGTCAACAACCTAATATGGTTCATTAAAAATCTGAAATTTATTGGATTAAATGATTTATAAAAATCAGCTGTGTTTAGTAAAAAAATCATACCGGTAATTTGAACCATGCAAGTACTTTGTGTGCAAATATTGTAATTAGAAAAACATGCCACTCTTCTGCCAGTCGGACAATTGCTTGTAAAAAAACTGTGGTAAGGAAACTGAGTTCTAAATTCTGCCGGATTCATAAAAAGTAACAGACATTTATATTTTATTATTTCCAGTGGAAATAGTGTTTTTTTATCATAAAATTAAAAAACAGATGGTTGCACAGTAAAAACAGCCAGCATATTTTGTTTAAACATACATATATATATATTTATTTAAAGAACTGGCAAGTTAATGTCTTTTGAGTATTAAACTTCTATTGCAGAAGTATTATTGTCAGGAAGCACTTCTGATGATTTTTAATGTTCTAAAGTATTGAAAGTGAAAACATCCGCTGGCTTGATCCTGGCAATTTCTGTGAATGCATTTCTCTAAGAGAGAGGAAGCTCAGTTACACCTGCATTGAAGTTTTCCAGGTGAGCAGAAGATGAAAACTGGATAATAACACTAGTCTGGCTTCACCCTTCTTCATTCAAACCTGGACGGCAGTGGTTCAGAGAAATTCAAATACTTGTTTAAAAAAAAACAAAGCTGTTGAGACTTAAAATTATTCTGCAGTATTGAAATGACCAAAGGTTTTTTTTTGTTGTTGTTCTCACTGAGTTAGTCACTTAAAGAGCTGATACTTTGTAGTTTCATTATATGTAAGACGTCAATCTGGACTATGCAGTTGCTCAGCCTGATAACTGCAATTAGTAGCATGCAGCCCATTGGCTATATAGAATGTCTAAAAGAAGTTCAAAGACTCTTTCATGAAGATTTGTCACCTTTCAGAATATAGTCACCTTTCAGTCTGAATGTGTACACATTCCACATCTGTCATTTAAATGCCTGTTCTGCTTGCTTCTTCACATGTTTTCTTAAAAATGAAATTATATTTGTAGTACATGTATCACTCATACATATACATACATATACATACAATAGTACTAGTTGAGCTATTTGTCCTGCAGCATAAGAGGCACAACAGTGTTCTACAGAAAACGTATAGAGGTCAATGATGTTGAATAAGGGGGGCTTTATAGCTGAATTATGCAGCTTTTATAGTCTAATCTTTTGTTGTGGCAATTATAAGGGGAATATCCATTAACGTACTTGGTATATAGTCTTAAGTGTAGCATTTGAATGTAGACTTCTGCAAAGATATGATTAGACTTATATAAACACACCAGGAACTTAGATACAGCTCTGCTCGGGAAAAAGGAATCTTGTCACTGGCAATAAATTAAATAGAATTTACGCCTAATACTGTCAAATTGCATTCTCTAGACTTTGGACTCACTAGAAATGTTCAGGAGATTGTCTTATGATGCTAATTTTCAATTTTGTTTCTCAATCTGAGAAGGTTTGGCATCAATGTTGTGAGCTGAACTGACATGCATTGTATGGATACTCTTTAATGGATTAAAAGTGAGTTTCCTGTCTGAGTGAATCATCACTGTGCTTAATTTCATGCAAAGAAAAGGAATAGTCCATTTGAAAATAAAGAAAAGAAATAGACCATTTGCTTTTGAGGTACTGTGCAAGAGTAACATGTCTGGAGTAGGATCAAGAAAATGGATTGAGCCTCTGAAAACAAAACACAGAAAGGGAACTGAGCCTATAGCTTTAACTTAGTTCTTTTTTCTTGATGCAATGAATGTTTTTTTTGGCAATTTCTTGGAAACCAACATGATCCTTGGCAATGAATCTGATGAACTGCTTGAAACAAAACAGGGCATTAGCTACTCATCAGTGTTAATGTGTTATAGCTTCAAGAAAGATAGTTCTTTATTTTGTACATTTTTTTTATTTTCTATATCACAAATATAAAGAGAAGAGAACTATATTATAAAAACTCCAAGACATCTCAATCACACCCAGGTGCCCAAACCCACACAGTCAGTCACTCACACATATACCCCTCATGAATTAATAACAATGACATACCTATGAGCTTTCATTTGCAGTACAGGTAAATCTCCTGACTAGCAGGTGAGGATTAGTAAATCTTAATTTTGCCTTTTAGCGCTAGTGAAAGTCTTGGATTTGTGACAAAAAATGTTGGCTACTTTCTCTGTCTTTCTTTGTTTTTAAAGATGTTGCATACCATTGATATTATCTTCAAATTAATCAAACAAGGGTGTCATCAGCACAGGCACTGTTTTGTGAGTTAAATAAAGCTCTTGGCAACTTGGAATTGGAAAAAAAATACATCCCTTCATTTTTAGAAAACAACGCCTTTTCAACTGAAATGGGCAAAGGTTTAAAAGAGAGCTTAAAAATGCAGTTGGTGGCATTAAAACAGAAACAAAAGAGATGGTTACAGTGGAGAGGGGAGGAACTAAAAATGAAACTAGATCACAACTCCAAAAGCAGTTGTATCTAAGTGGCTACAGCTGTGTGTACTGTCCCCTATGACTACAGATTCTGTGTTTTAACATACAGAAAGCCACTAATAAAGAGTTTTTGGTAATATTTTTCTGAATATTTCTTGCGTTTTAAAAGTAAGATAGGAATTGAAGAGTCCTAATAAAGAACAATAATATGAATAATAAGGGGTTACATATGCATTATTGCCATATACTTGATATAGTACACAGCGTGACAAGGAAATGCACAGAAACATTAAAGAGAGAAGGAGAAAAGAGGAAAAGCAAACAATATAAATATCATGTTCCGAAACCGTTCCTCATAAAATGTTCAGACACACAGATGGTTGTGTTGCAGAAACATCTAGATTTTCTTAGCGAACAGAAGGTACAGAATAGTTTGAAGACATGGAGATTCGTGCTTGCTTGTTTTTGAAGCGCCAGACCTGTCATTCCTTTGTGTGATAGTGACTTCCAGGGGTTACAGTATTTGTCCCCCCCAGCCTACACTATTGGTATTTGCCCCTTTTTCTCACGAAATGTAAAAGCTTTGTCATTCAAATCATCCGAGAGTGTCCCAAACTGATAAAATCCACTCTGCATACTGTAGCTGCCTAGTGATTATATACTGTAACGCATACGGCCTCCATTGCTTGTGAGAGCTGGCTTACCAGCGCAGTGACGTCACCGCCCTTCCCTGTGGATAGCAGGGATCGCAGCCACCGGGCTGATGGGAGATTCCCCTTTGGCTCAAGAGGCTGGATCCCTGCTGAGTGCCGCCGGAGGCCCGGGTTCGAGCGTCCGACGGTGGGGGGTTGACCTGAGGTGGCAGCAGCAAGGGCGCGTACCCACATGAACCCCAGAGCGTTACAATACACTGGAATCTAAATCTAAACTTAAAATAAACAGCAGTATTTTTGTGGCTTCTTTATTTACAAATGTGTTTATTTACGTGTGTATGTCCGCTCCTGAGCTAGATAACCGAACAGCAGGCTAATAATGAAAGGATGCTGATTTAATGTAACCTGTTTGTTAATTGGTTTGAACCCTGGTCAGGTTTGCTCCAGCACCATGAACCCTTGAGGTACATTTCGAATAAAGGCATCCTGGGAACAGAGCAGGTAATTAATGCAAGCAGGCGACCTTAGCCGCGAGACAAGAGGTTACGAGTAGTCGGGGGTTGCTGTGTATTTGTACTCCCAGGAATGGACTGCGCAGGGTCTCTGTGTCCCCTAAGTCCTTCTTTCTCTCCTTTACACGTTCAGTACATTTTTTTTCTTCCATGGAAAAAAAAAAAGGGTGGACTGACTACTACTGTATCCTGCTGCCAAACGCAGGGGTGTCCCATCAGCCCCCTGGCGCAGGGTGCTGATCTGTAGATAAAAGAGTCTCGTCAGCGGCAGGCAGAGCTCGGCGTGCCCCCGCAGCAAAGCGTGCAGCTCCTCTTGGCCTGCACCCCCCCCAGCTCCTCGAAGGCTGTGGGACTCCGGGGAGTTACGGTGGCTGCCTGACCCAGGACCCGAATTGTTGGGTTTCTTCCAAAGGTTTCCTGAATGAGAGGAGGTGTGCTACCCTGCACATTGTGTTCGCTAGATTATATATACAACAGCAACCTGCTGTATTCTCCACCACAGTTATTCCCTTGAAGGCAAAAGCAAAAAAAAACTCTCCCTTGCTCTCTTTCTGTGCTGTGGGAAGCCCAGGCTGTGTCCCACCTTGAGGCTGAATGGCAGCAGAAAGAATAAAAATTAGTCATTCATTTTATAGGCACCCTAAGCAGAGTTTGTGGCATGAGGGACATGAAATGCAAGTGAACTGTGAGTTAACTAAGCATGCATGTGATGTTTACAGATGTCAGTGATGTTACTACTGTTTTCTTTTGTTATTATCACTGCTTTAGTCTCGTGTTTTAAAAATGTGAGGGCTGTTATGGTTAAAATGCTGCCACTGTTTGCTTATCGTAATGTAAATCTATCTGAATTGCCATAGCTGGGAGCAAGTGCAGGGAAGGAGCCAGACACACTGAAAACCTGGCTTCCTCACTGCTGGCCACTACCTTGAGGTGAGGAAATATTTCCTGAAGCTGTCAAGCGTAACTGACAACTGCCATTTAGTGTTAAAGTTACTTTCACATAATTGATGCCAGTCTAGATATCAAAGCACCAACCTCAGATATCGGCCCACAAACACTGTCTATAGTCAGACCCACGTCTCTGGGGGAACAATCCAACAGCACTTTTAAACCACAGACATTTCATCTGTGATGTGTATGTTCTCATTAAAAGCTGCTGAACTTCAGTGTTAAGCAAAGGTTCGGGAAACTGTTTTGAGTGTATAATTTAAAATAATTATTACTCAAGCCAAACTTAATATAAGTAGATCAATGTGCAGATCAATATAAACTAGTGAGAAGAGTAGCATATTTTTTTCATAAAAATCACGTGCATTTGATATCTGTCAGAGCAATTGAAAAATCCAAAGTCTCTTACAGGCATTATGCTGACTTTTCAGAAGACAAAAAAACAAGGATATTTGGGATTGAATAATGCAATAAATGTAGTAGGTATGCACAGCTTTGGCACAGAAATAACTGACATGATTATTATTAGTAGTAGCAGTAGCAGTAGCAGTTGTAGTAACATGGATAAAGGGTATTGATGACTGTAATCTCTGTCATGTTGCCATGTCAATCTCATTTTAAAACCCATATTCCACTTAATCTTTGCTTGAATTCGCTCAGTGCTGGAAACCTGTGGGATGCTGAGGCTCTGGGTGTAGGACAACCGTATGGATGAGCCCAGGAAAAAAGGGTGCGAGGTCAGTTTCGTCAAGGAAATAAAGCTACTGTCCCTCTTGGCAGGAACTGTGACGTCGGGCATCCAGCACGAAGCATCCCTCTCTCCATCTCACATCCACCCCTTCAAACTGGTTTAGCTAAGGAGGAACTCCCGTGTGGACTTTCTTGTCGGAAACTGGAGATGCTAGGGCCAAGTGGGGTCACATTCTGTTCATCAGACCTGTCTATCCTTCTGTCTTGGAAAATCCAAGGACTTAGGTTATCGACCATCAGCTCTGCTGACTCCAACATCTTAGAACTCAGTGACTTCCCTGAATGTGTGGTCAACAAGGTGGTCTAGCTGCAGTCCATGTGACCCATACCGCATACGGCTTTTGTGCTTTGTTGCCTGAAGCCCATTTGCACTATCTCCTGAATATAGAGTGTGTTTCCGAAGCGGGGCTGTTTACATTACTGTTAAATGTGTACTTTGTTCTTGGCAACTTTTTTTTTTCTGCACGTTTCTTCACAGTTTCGCTTGCGCAGCAAGGAGACCTGAGTTGCTCAGGGAGATTGAGGGAGGGCAGATGCCACTCACCCACTCTACCCCACTCTTACCCACTCGCCCACTGAGCCGACGCACTGCAGGCACCACAGTGCACAGCGGGAGGGCTGGTTATGACTGGAGGAGTGGCGCGTCTCTCGCTGATGCCTGCAGAAGCCCAGGATGTCGCCAAACTTGGAGTTTGCTCTGTCGTTTCACAGCCACTAGCCTGTGTGAAGACTTGTAAATGTGTACTTTTGTGAAGGAAACTGCAACAAAAACATCAAATAGTCATATCGTATTCCTCTCGTTTGTGTTGCTTTTCAGGAGCATTGTAAGTGTTATATCTTCAAGTACTGACACAACTCTAGAATATACAGTACATATATATGAAGCTGGAGTAAAGCTGGAAAAACTGTCAAAATAGTTCACATAGCTATGGTGCGTTCACAACTGAAGAACCAGTGATTTAGTGTCTGAAATTCTGAATGAAACTACGCCTTTCTGCCAGAGCAGGGTGATGGAGTACCTCAGAGGAAGAATAGTGCTTTGCCCCGCTGGCTTGTGAAATGTGTGATTACAGTTTGTTATGTTTACCCTTAGATGAACCAAAGCCACTCACCCAGCGGCACGCTTGGAGTGAGACACAGGGTGGGAAGAAAGCAGGTGTTCCAACTGCTTCTCCAGCTGGGAGACTGGAGTCATGTTAGATCCAGGAGCCTTGCTGTTTAGTTATTTCTATTGCTGGATTTGAACCCGGACAGTAAAAGGAGACCGTTCATGAATGCTGGTTGACTCCTAATAGATTTTCTTATGTGCAACATGTCACTGTTTCCCCCCACGCTATTGTAATTTATCTATTATCAGTTGTTCAAGTTGTCATGGGTCACAAGCATGTAGGCTTTCCCGACAACCATCTCCAACTCTCACTGTGTTTATGCAGGATGGGTCTGTCCTGATATCAGATATCAGATTAAACCTAAGATTTTTACAGATGAGTCTTTAGTTCATCAAGGAAGAACAACAGATACGGATAAAAACAGTGACATTTCCATCTTATTAGTCCCTAAATCTTTTTCAAGGAAACAGAGTAATGTGTTTATTGAAACTTGGGCTTAGGTTTAATCGCATTGTGCTTTGTTTTGCATTCACTATTCTTGGAAGACGAGGGAAACACTGCTTCTTTCATCACACAATCAGCTTTTGCGTTTCTTGGTAATGTAAAATATGACTGATATAAAACGTGCTACTAAGCTTGGCTAGTTCTCAGGCCCACAGACTTGTTTATTTATGACATGATTTGAAGTGCTGACAGCTAGCAAGTCTTGCATTTGCTGTGGCAGTACAGCAATACTAAGATTGAAGATCGGTTTTTGCAATGTGGCTGCCTAGTTCTTTCTGAACGTTTTGTTATTGAGGTGCTGTTAGTTTGATGTTAATTCATAGGGAGGTGTTTTGAATATATTTTGACTTAATTTACTTTATGTTTCAGGTAACTCAGAATGTTTGCGTGAAAAGTTGTTCCATTAACAAGTAAAGTGAAATCGCAGAAATTAGTAATACAATCACAGCAAGTCAGGGAAATAAACTCCTCAGATCAAACTTTATCCCAAAACTAACAAGGAAATGTAAGCTACAAGCTTTTGATAGCCAACAATGGATCATAACCTCTGACCATGTTAATGCAATTGACAGGAATGACCAATCTCATTAAAATACATATAAATATAAAAGATAGGTATAATTTCACACTATGGGGTGGACATAAGCATAACATACCAAGATATAATTTACAATATAATACTGATACATTTCATCCACACATAGAAGATTGTCAGTTGGTATATCTTCAGTTTAAGACATTGCTGTCAATGTACTGAGTTACTGAATAAATATGACAACATGAATTTGCAACATGGTCTGTCTGTTTGAATTTGAATTGTTAACTTATTCATGCACCAAAAGGCTGGGAACTACCTACTTACTTACAATTCCATCTGATATCCAAGTATCGGATCAGAAAGGAACAAAGCCAACAAAGATGTACAGCACTGTCAGCCCCTGAAAGCTGCCAGGATCTTACTATGACAAACTGCAGGGCTGTCTAACAAGGGCATGTGGTGTTGATGGCCACTGTAACATATCCAGGCACAGGGAGTTCGAGGGATGCAGTGGATTGCCCATCCCTGATAAACCATCTGAAGTTAACATCAGCCCCGGGATCACAACTGCCTGGTTTGGGATTCTCAGTTTTAATGAAGCCGCTGCATCTACTGTACGATGAAAGAGCTCATTTGATTGGCATCAGAAACATGTTGTCGGTCTGCTGCGGTCCCTCAAGCTGATTCTCCATTCTCATTCTGAGCAATGCAAAGTGCCTGTCAGCCTGCGAGTGCAATGGCACGAGCTGTGGCAGGAGCTGCAGGACAGCGCTGATTCATCCTTTGGCCAAGGTGCTGATCAGAAGAGGTCCGGCTCTCTCCGTAACGCCACTGATTTTATCTTCATGCTAACTGTTACTCGAAACCGTAAACCAACCTCTGCCACCGCTGATAGTGTTGGAAGTGTACTTTTAAAAAAGGTTGTGATATGTATTTAGGTTTGGTGGACAATCCGTATGAGAGACATACGGCATAGTGTCTGGCAAAGCTGGGGTAGAGTTCTGTCTGTCTCAGAAAGTAGTGGCCACAAGGTATAAAAAAAAGTAAGGAATCAATCCTAAATCAGTAAAGTAACGAAGGGTGAGCTAGCCACGGTCAGGAAGCAGGGCTGCTGCCCACTTCTTTGTTTCAGTTCCATCGCTCCTTCTCTTCTCTTCCACAGTTCTCTGGTCAGAGACGCCAAGGGCCGGATGTCCTTCAGAGTGAGTTCGCAGCTGCAAAGCGTGAAATTGAAGGTGAAAAGAGCGGTACCTTTTGCCTTCCGGATCAGAGAGAGAGAGGGGTTGCAGAGCCAGTAAGGTGTTCGTGTTTCCTTTCTCTGTGGCAAATCGCATGTGGCTCGTTGGGTGGGATACTGTACATAATAAGGGGATTTCCTGTTATATCCCACTTTACCAAAATTGTGACGCAGCAGTTCAAACAACAGGAAAACTGCTCCAATGTATGATTTGCAGTTTCATTCCTTTTTTACTTTAAAGCTTCTAACTTGTTCTCCTTAACATGACGAAACTTCATCTTGTGAAAACAAACAAAATAAATTTGAATAGTCCAGGACTCTCTGTCTACATTAAGGGATTGACGCGCCTCACGGAAAGCCCAGAAGAAAAGCAGTAAACCAGGAACCCACATGCACTTGGGAAAACTGTGAGCACTTCCTCCACTTGTTTTCTAAAAATGACATCAATTTAATATTAATTGCACATATTTCAAGCAAATCTAATCTTTCAAAAGGAGACTTATTTGAGGAGACAATCAATTGGTCTGAATATTTATCCATTTTTAAATTTTTATATGTAAAATCTGTTTATTGCATAGCTCCACTTTATTACAATATTCCATACATTTTCTAACAAAAAACATTTTTTGTTAATTTGTTATTGTCCTCAAACGTCCCATCGTTTCATACATTGGAGTATAATTATTATTATTATTATTATTAGATATTTGTAAGCGTAGTTCAGGACCCTATGCAGATGGTATAATCCGGAAGTCAGCGGGGAAGGACGTGTTGACAGACAGGGGGGCGTGACGGCGGTGATCGGCGCTCGAGGGGCGTGGCAAGGGCAGACAGATCCAGACAGTGCAAAGTCCAAAACCGGGTGATCCATCGCAGACGAGACAAACACAGTTAAAATCCGGAAAGGGAATAAAACAAAGGTAACGAGACCAGGCGCTCTGAGCCCCGGACTCAGATGGTCAGGACGCCGTGTGGAAACCTATGCCGTCAGTTCTCTCCTGGACCCGCTGGTAGGCAGGCTTGCGGGTTTGCGGGCTTCCCTATCCCAATGCTAAGTGAGACATGGATGGTGCGCCTGCCTTAAATAAAGACGGGCGAACAGGGGGCAGGTGCACAGAATGGACTAAAATACGAAAGGGTCTGAGCGCCCTTAAGAGGAGGGATTGCAATCGTGACAGTATTAATATCAGAGCATATTTTTATGAAGTGATGAATTCTCACCTGTTAAAAATGTCTTTAGTTTCAACGAAATATCTAACTTTCTTTTTGTATAGTACACGAACAGAAATGTTTGGTGTCTTCAATTCTCTAATGTATTCAGAAACGTGTTGATACTGTTTTGAGGTAGCCTGCACAACAACATCACTGACACAGCACCCTTTTAATACAAAAGCATCTTTGTCTATCTGGTTTTATGTTTTCTGTCTGTTCCAGCACAATAAAATACTTCACCCAAGAAGGAAAAATACAGTAAGTATATTTTACTTCAGCACGGATACAAAAGAATTTCTGTAATCTGAGGTCTGATATTAGTCCTGTACCTTCACAATCTCAATTTCAGATGTTATCAGCTAGAATAAATAAATAATATTAATGAATACTACTTAAGAATAAATACTGTATATTTAACAGCAGTTTGGTGAAGCATTTCTGTTTCAATTGTCTTGTTCTGGAGGTTTGTGTCTGACCTGTGTTTTTGCTATTTGTAAGAGTTAGATTTATGTAACTGCAGACATGTGAGGTGGATACAATTTTCTTTCTCTAGAATTGAACACCTTTGTAATAAATCAGTTACGTCGCACTGTGTGATAAAATGTTCTTTTTAAAAAGTATGATAAATACATTCATGTACTCAGTGTCAGATTTCACACTTTATTAACTTAATTTTAAACTCCTTCCTCCTCACTGTCATAATAATCATAAGCATTATAAACTATTAAAATAATCTTGGCACAAACGACTGCCTGTAGCTGTGTTGATAATTATACTTCATAAAAAGCCCGTTAAAATGTTTGTTGTTAACAAACCTCCAGTTATCTGGTCACCAGTGTGAATGGCTCATAGATACAGTTTAAATAAAGTTGATTTTGAAAAGAACTTGTGTGATTATTGCTGATGCTGCTGCAGTTAAAGAAGATCAGCAGTCTGTCATCACCATTTATTACCTGTTTTTTCCCTGCTTTGGTTCCCCCGATGACAGAGAAAGCTCAGGAACGAAAGATACCTCAGTAGGACAGAAGGATAAATACCGGTGCTGTTTGTGTGAAGGGGAAAAAAATGGCAGACGCACTCCCTCGCTGAATTTATCGACGTTGTGCAGTGTCTGTTTTGGCTGCGTGCAGTGGAGGTTACTGGGAGAGTGGGGGGAGGGTGTTGAGTGCTGGGAGGGGGCAGTAGGTGTTTCTTCCTTTCCTGTTCTGCTAGCCCTCTGGCTCAGCCAGCTGGAGCTCTCCAAATGAGTCAAGTGCTTGATGATCATCCCCTTATCCCCTCAGCACCCCCCCCCCCCCCCCCCACCCCAACACCACTTTTCTCTTTCCCCTCCTATATAGATTTTGCTGCAGGTAAAACACTGAGCAGGCCTTCTGTTACATTGTCTGTGAAGCGCTTGTCCTTTTTTTTTCCACTGTGTTATGGCCTGGTAGTGCATAACATCACAGTGTTACGGATAGGGAAGGCCCTCCTTTTCATCTGTTGCCTGTGGTGTTGTACAGAACCTCCCCTCGGTGCAGTTGCTAGCCCGCGTGTAGCGGGTGATCGCGAAGCCGTTTTTTTTCAGCGCCTTGAGCCTGGGGAGGTTTGGGATTTCTCTTCACAGTGGGCCTGAGGGAGGGCCAGTAACTGAGCCACTAGCCGAGGGAGCTGGACCAATTACATTGTTGGGATAAATGTAGCGCTATGCATGGATTGTGGTACTTAACAGGCTGTGTGATAGAAGCTTTCACCAGGGTATTTTAAATGGAAGGGAATTTAAAAACAGATTTATGGGTCAGTTAAATATAGTAGACAACTGATTTTTTCTCACTTTTTTTTTAGTCTTTCATAAAACAGCATTTCTTCTTAAAGTGGGATGACGTATTTGCTTGTGAAACAGTAGTTTTTAAACCCCAGCTGGAAATGGTGCTCACGTACGATGTTAGATTGTTTTATTTTAAATATCCTGTCAACGAGGCTCACGGACGAAATATTCACGGTACAGATTCACCAGGTTTTTTCAGAGTTAAATGTTTTAACACGTTTTCCCATACCATCTGCTTCATGCAATAACAACAGCAGTATTTTTAGTGTGAGATGAAATAAAAAGCAGAGAAAATATCTTCTATTTGTTACTATCGTCACTGTTACTCAATTAATATCTGTACAAATAACCAATGTAGGCATATAGCAGCAATACTTCCCAATACTTGTGAGTAATGATTGTACCGTTTTTTACTCTCTATCTGTTTTCCAACCCAATGGTGAATTGCAATTAATAAAACTATAAAAGTGATTTTGTTTTATTTTTATTCTGTCCAAACAGAGATTCCATTTGATTTGACGCATTTACTCAGACCCTTTTGAGATATGCAATTAATCTGATTCCAGTGATCTTCTTTAGTATTTGCAATCAAGGAAGCAGGAAGCACTCAGATGTGTTGGTCCTGGACTAGTGTCAGGTATCCTAACAGCCAGGAGATCTACATCATTCAATTTTAACTTTATACCTTTCCATGATATCCTGGTGTTTTAATGAAATCATGACCTGAGCTCATTAAATCTGCTCATTAATTAAAATGTAAATAACATGGTGTTATTTTAGACAGTTTGAAATATTTAGAAATATCTTAGAACTATTGTATATACAGTACAGTGTGTGGTGACACTAAATATATTGAGTACAAACTCCTGAAAAAGATTTGAAAAGAACAAAAGAACAGATACATTTTTGTCTTCAGTATTGAATCTTGCAATAGAGG